TAGTAATTCTCACCCTTATTCCTGTAGGGTTGGCACTAGAAGCTTTCTTGGGGCCCATGGTCACTTATTTTGCAGATGAAATCACCAAAAACGCTGTAATAATACGAAATGTTCCGATTGTATGCTTGGATGTTACCGTGGAGGCTGGCTGGTAAACAATGCCACCGGCGGAACATGTGAGGCTGGCTCAGGCCGCACATTAGACGCGTCTTGGACGAATAGCGCTGAGCGGGTTTTTTAGCGGTATGCGAGGCAAAATCTTAGCGATAAAATGTATCGGTATGTGGATTTAACGTTATGTGATGCCAACAGTATGTGGTCATCCTACAGACATGGCAGAGCGACTTTATGGAGACATGAGCTTCATTAAGGTGAAGTTTTTGCCTCCTAATACCACTCCTCTCCTGCAGCCCATGGACCAGCAGGTTATTGCAAACTTCAAAAAACTGTACACAAAAGCTCTGTTTGAAAGGTGCTTTGTAGTGACCTCAGAAACTCAACTGACTCTAAGAGAGTTTTGGAGAGATAACTTTAATATCCTCAATTGTGTAAACCTTATAGGTAAGGCTTGGGAGGGAGTGACTAAGAGGACCTTAAACTCTGCTTGGAAGAAACTGTGGCCAGAATGTGTAGACCAAAGGGATTTTGAAGGGTTTGAGGCTAACCCTGGGAATCCTATGCCAGTTGAGGAATCCATTGTGGCACTGGGAAAGTCCTTGGGGTTGGAGGTTAGTGGGGATGATGTGGAAGAGTTTGTGGAGGAGGACAATGAAGAACTAACCACTGATGAGCTGCTAGATCAACTTCAACAGCAAGAGACCAGACCTGAGGAAACTGCTTCAGAGGAGGGGAGAGAGAAATTGAAGAAGTTGCCTACTTCAAAGATTAAGGAAATGTGTGGAATGTGGCTTAAAGTGCAAACCTTTTTTGATGACAATCACCCTAACACAGCTATTGCAAGCCGTGCTGGTGACTATTACACTGACACTGTTGCGAAACACTTTAGGAAAGTCATAAAGGAACGAGAGGTACAGGCCACTATGGACAGATATGTTGTGCGACAGAAGTCCAGTGACTCTCAAGCTGGTCTTAGTGGCATTAAAAGAAGAAGGGAAGTAACCCCAGAAAAGGACTTGACACCTCAAGTCTTAATGGAAGGGGATTCCCCTTCTAAACACTAAGACTCTCTCCTCCTCCCATCCCATCAATCATCACCAGATCTTCAATAAAGGTAAGTGTCATGTAACTGTGCATGCCTTTTTCAGTTTGTGTGTATTAAAATTAATATTTCATGTGGTAAAAATTTTTTTTTTCATACTTTGGGGTGTCTTGCACGGATTAATTTGATTTCCATTACGTATTTCTTATGGGGAAAATTCATTCACATAACGATAATTTCGCATAACAATGAGCTCTCAGGAACGGATTAATATCGTTATGCGGGGGTCCACTGTATATGGAAGGCACACGTGGAAACCGACCGCAACAGCTTGTAAACAATAGCACACTGACTCTTGGAGTGGCTGGGCTTGCTCAGGCCGCGCTCCGGGCACATCGACACGTTCTGGACAAACATTGTTGGTTAAGTTTTTCACCGTTGGTCAAGGCATTTTTTCTACGGCAAAAAGCACAGCTACACGAAATTGCCGTTACTTAATGCTGCCTTTAGTTGAGGGTCGACTGTATTTCTAGTATATTTTTAAATGTTAATATAGTAGTGCACTGTATACTCTAATAAACAGAATAGAGGACATCAGCTCTAATATACATTACTTAAGTTTGCATACTGGTTGGAGAGCTGGTCTTAAGTCCGAGTGGTCAGTAAACGAGTATGTCGCTAAGTAAGGAGAGGCTGTATTGATCACTTAATATATGACAGTGTAAATATGTTATCAAGCTTAAACATGCATTTGAAAGTGAAAAAAGGCCATGATTTGCTTTAAAGCTATTTTTGCTTTACAGCAGTAGCCCAGAACCTAACCTGCTATATAAGTAGGGCTTCCCTGTTCAGTGTTGCTTAGTTAATATACACTAAACATGAGAGATAAATTAGGAAGTTTTGAGAAGCAAAAATACTCATATCACTATACAGTGGACTCACTGTTTTCGTCGATCTCTATTATTGCCGATTTCAGTTTTGGCCGACTTTTTTCGTTGATTACCTCCGTTTTCGTCGATCGTACAGAGCCTGTCCAGTGCCCAGCGCACAGACAAAGCCACCTCCCACGTGCATTTTCAGTAAGTGTAGTGTTGTTTCTCGATGAGTGAACATATCCTGCCAGGTCATTTGAAACATTTCGTAATAATCCATTGTTTTGGCCACTTGTTTATTGTGTGTGACTGCTAAATAAGCAACCATGGCCCCAAAGAAAGCTCCTAGTGCCAGTGCTTTGGTAAAGAAAGTGAGGAACACCGTAGAACTGAAATAAGAAATCCTAAGAAAATATGACAGTGGCAAATGCATTGCTAAACTCAGCAGGATGTACAGGAAGTTGCCATCAACAATCGGCTCCATTGTGGCAAAGAGAAAAGAAATCATGGAAGCTGATGTTGAGAGAGGGGTGAATGCGATAACCAAACAGAGATCCCAAACAATTGAAGTAGAGAAATTGTTGTTGGTGTGGATCAGTGAGAAAGAGTTAGCAGGAGATAGTGCTGTGCAGTCTATAATTTGTGAAAAGGCAATGCAGTTGCATGATCATCTTATAAAGAAACTGCCTAAAACAAGTGCTGACGTAGGTGAATTTAAGGCCAGCAAAGGCTGGTTCGAAAAATTCAAGAAGCAAAGTGGCATACACAGTGTTGTAAGAAACGGTGAGGGTGCCAGTTCAGACAAGCAAATGGATGAAAAATTCGTGCGGGAATTCAAATGTTACATAGAAGCTGAAAATTTCCAACCCCAACAAGTGTTCAATTGTGATGAAACAGGCCTGTTTTGGAAGAAAATGCCAAAGAGGACCTACATTATTTAGGAGGAAAAGGCACTCCCAGGACACAAGCCTGTGAAAGACAGGCTAACTCTCTTGTTGTGTGGTAATGCTAGTGGGGATTTCAAAGTGAAGCCTTTACTGGTGTATCACTTTGAAAATCCCAGAGTGCTCAAGAAAAACAGTGTTGTCAAGAGTAAATTGTATGTGATGTGGAAGGCTAACAGTAGGGCATGGGTCACTAGGGAAATTTTCCTGGAATGGTTCAATGAAGTGTTTGGCCCGAGTGTGAAGAAATACCTCCTGGATAATTAACTGCCACTCCAGTGCCTCCTGTTAATGGACAATGCTCCTGCTCATCCTCCAGACTTGGAAGACCAATTGTCTAAGGAATTCAGTTTTGTAGCAGTGAAGTTCTTGCCTCCTAACACCACTCCTCTCATTCAGCCCATGAACCAGCAGATCATTGCAAACTTCAAAAACTGCACACCAAAGCAATGTTTCAAAGGTGCTGTGACATAACTTCAGACTCTGAATTGACCCTAAGAGAGTTCTGGAAGAATCACTTCAATATCTTCCACTGCATAGGCCTTATAGATAAGGCTTGGCAGGGAGTGACTTCCAGGATGATGAACTCTGCCTGGGGAAAACTGTGGCCAGATTGTGTCCAAGAGAAGGATTTTGAAGGGTCTGAAGCTGACCCTGTCAACCCTACACCTGTTGTGCAATCAACTGTGGCATTGGGAAATTCCATGGAGTTGGATGTGAGTGGCGACGATGTGGAAGAGTTGGTGGAGGACCACAATGAAGAGTTAACCAATGATGAGCTGCAAGAGCTTCATCTGCAACAGCAGCAGACCACAGTTGAGGAACTTGCTTCAGAGGAGGAAGAGAGATGGAAGAAGATGCCTTCAAAGAGTAAGGAGATTTGTGCAATGTGAACTACAGTGCATTAATTTGTGGAGGAACATCACCCTGAGAAAGCTGTTGCAATCCATGCTGGCAACTTTTACAATGACAATGCCATGTCCCATTTTAGGCAAATCTTAGAGATTCCAGAAACAGAGCAATCTGGACAGATATTTTGCACGACAGGGGTCCAGTGACTCTCAAGCTGGTCCTAGTGGCATTAAAAAAAAAGGAGGGAAGTGACCCCAGATAAGGACTTGGTACCTAGAGTCCTTATGGAGGGAGATTCCTCTTCCAAAGAATAACCTCTCTTTCCTCTCCCCTCCTCACTGTCTTCCTTCCAGCAACAACAGCCTTCAATAAAGGTAAGTGTCATGTGCAATGTTCATTCTTTTGTGCATGTAAATCTATCTTTAAGGTAAAAAAAAATTTTGTTGTTGATACTTCTGGGTGTCTGGAACAGATTAATTCCATTTACATTATTTCTCATGGGGAAAATGGTTTTGGTTTTGGCCAATGGCTCTGGAACGGATTAAACACGAAAACCGAGGGTCCACTGTATTTTTCAACTTTTCCTTTTCAGTTATTATTAGCCATATTACGAATATCTGACAAAATATTGAGACTGGGTTGCATATATACATAGGAGTAATGAAAAATTTCCATTAAGAAATATTGTACAAACATACATAGTGAAACCTCACTTTAAAAGACTAAAAGAGGAGAGGGTGCATTAATGTTGCTTGCCTTTTAAATGTGAATATTTTTTCCATGACTGTAACAGTAATACACAATTCTGTATTTAACGCATTTTGTCCATTTAATTCAAAATCAATTTAACCAGTGAACAGATAATTCTAGATTTAAAGGACTTTATTGTTAAATTCAAAATCAATTTACCATGTGAATCTTAACAAAAATTGACAATTCTGGACATAGCAGACTGTCCATTGTTTTCAGATGTTATCCAGTCACAGGTTTTGCCCGTTAAATATGAAATGTGTTATAACGGGGTCCATTAAATTGACGTTTTACTGTACACTATGCTTCACAAAATCTAATGTTAATACTATCACTCACAGTAAAATGAAATAATAATTTTAAGATTGCCCAATAGCACTGTTACACCTAATTACAGTAAAGTAAAAAAAAAAAAATGAGTACCATTAGCCATATATTTTTGTTGAACACCAATAAGCCACATTCTCCATGAAGCTGTTGTGAGCCATTTTTGTGCCACAATGTGGATTTGTTTTACCAGCCTGTACAACTCAGTTGCTCGCTGATCTGTGGTAAGAGATGAGTGCTGTGTTAGCCAGTACTGCACTGGCACACAGCATACCAACACACACAGGACTACAGCATCACGGCCAGACATAGGCATGGCAGTTCTCCTGGGAAGATAAAAATTTATATTAATATTGGGAATGTTATCTAATATGCTGCTAAAACTATTTGTTTTTAGTATATAATGAGGGGACATATTTATATAACATTTGAAGTTGTGGCCTGGTGGCTAGAGCTCTCGCTTCACATGGCGAGAGTCTGGGTTCGATTCCCAGCAAGGGTAGAAACAGTGGGCGCATTTCTTTACACCTATTGTCTATGTTCACCCATCAGTAAAATGGGTACCTGGGTGTTAATCGACTGGTGTGGGTAGCATCCTAGGATACTGACCTAATTTGCCCAAAATGCTAAGCATAACAAGGGGCTTTCTATATAGTAGTATGTCACTGATGTCAGCCAGACCTGTATACCATGCACATGTACTTGTATTAAATAAAGATATTAAACAGTGATTTGTTTTAAAGAATAAAAAAGTCACAATACAGTGGCTGGAACAAATTTGGCAACTTTCTAGTCTATCCTAGACCATCTGTCAAGTCACAACTGGGGTGAGAAAGATGAAAGGTCCCAGTTGTGACTTAATAATGGCCTGATAAAGACTGAAACACTTATGCAACATATGGAAAATATTAAGGAAACATTTTGCCACACAATGGCTTCATCAGTCCAATACAAAGCAGAAAGGTGTAAGGAGAGGAGGAGTTTGAGGTAATCAGTCCCTCAGCCTGGAGTCGATGTATTCAGTCCATCAACTTTGTAGAATGTACAGCATAGGGCTGTAGATGTGGCTTATATACTGTAGTCAGGTGAGGTGAAGCAGGAGGAGGCGGGGTCATAGTGGTACCATCCACTAGTCGAAGTAGGTCTTCGTCCAAAGGTTGGACAAGTTTTGAAGAATTCTTTGTATCAAGATCCCATGATGATGCAGTGTCTGACAGTTGTGATGAATGGGTTCAAAGACCGACAAGTTGAAGATTGAGACACTTATGCAACATACGGAAATCTTTATTAACCCGTAAACGGTCCAAACGTATATATACATTTTTTCAACATTTGAAAGTATGTAAAAAAAAGTAGATCTTTTTGTTTTTTACATTTGAAAATGTGTAAAAAAACTTTGATCTACTTTTTTTTTGTTATATTTGAAAATATGTAAAAAAAAAGTAGATCTACTTTTGTAGCATTACACATGTGAACGTAGATCTGCTTGGACCGTTTACGGGTTAAGGAAACGTTTCGCCACACAGTGGCTTCATCAGCCCAATACAAAGCAGAAAGGTGCAAGGAGAGGAGTAGTTTGAGGTAATCAGTCCCTCAGCCTGGAGTTGATGTGTTCAGCCCATCAACCTTGTAGAATGTACAGCATAGGGCTGTAGACGTGGCTTATATACTGTATCAAGATCATGGGATCTTGATACAAAGAATTCTTCAAAACTTGTCCAACCTTTGGATGAAGACCTACTTCGACTAGTGGATGGTACCACTATGACCCCGCCTCTTCCTGACTACAGTATATAACCCACATCTACGGCCGTATGCTGTACATTCTACAAAGTTGATGGACTGAACACATCGACTCCAGGCTGATGGACTGATTACTTCAAACTCTTCCTTTCTTACACCTCTCTGCTTTGTATTGAACTGATGAAGCCACTGTGTGGTGAAATGTTTCCTTAATAAAGATTCCCATATGTTGCATAAGTGTCTCAATCTTCAACTTGTCGGTTTTCAAACCCATTCATCATAACAATGGCCTATGATGAATTGAAACATCGTTATAAGGTTTCTCTCCTAAGTGTGGGTTTATGTGAACTGGTTTCTTTTTGGCTGAAGAGAGCATGAAAAAACTAGAATTCTACAAATATCAAATAAAATTTGAGTATGTTTTCTTATACAGTATACAACACAATTTAAATATATAATTCCGCATAGGCTTTTAAGAAGAAAGCTCTAAACCCATAGGGGTAACAGTTCCTGAAAAATGGGAGGCAATCACGTTTGTTCAAAGGAAAGGGAGTACAAGTCAAGGATGTTAGGAAGTATTTTTCAGTCAGGAAGTGGAATAGCCTAGAAAGTGACGTAGTGGAGGCAGGAACCATACATAGTTTTAAGACGAGGTTTGATAAAGCTCATGGAAGTTTGATAAAGCTCATGGTAAGTTTTTACTTACATTAATCAGGGTGAAATGCTCAACATTTTGGGGGTTATCAAGCACCAAGTCTGATCCAGGAAAGGGGAGGACAAATCCAATTCCTTGGATGAAGAGCCTCTCACCAGTGTCACTGCGCATCCCTTGAGAGTTGAACTTCAGCAGCAAATGCTAGATAATATTATTATATTAATAGTGAAATGATGAACCCATGAGGTTCATAAACCCCCCTGAGAATGGGAAGCAATCAGGTTTGATCCCAGGAAAGGAAATGTAGCCCCGATTCCTTGGATTATTATATGCATGGGAAAGTGGTAAACTTGAAGGGGGTCATACAGTACTTGAGATATGGGAGGAACTTCAGTTTGAATCTAAAGCCTCGGAGCAAGAGCCCTTCACTGGCATGAGGAAAGGACCGCAATGCAAATAAGCCGATATAACCTTTCTCAGGGTTATCCTCGGTGATTCGCTATTGTGGAAGACTATTGTAATCATCCAAAGATTGCGTCATTATACATGAATAAACTTAGTAGTTACCACTTAAAGGGTAAATGATTGTTCCAGTTCCTTGAAGCAAGAGCCCTTCACAACCATCCCACCTGAAGAGAACACCACATGTGGTTACATATTAATATTTATTACATGAAAAGCAACAACAGTAGAACCATTTAACTACTCACATTCATGTATTTCTTGTTAGATTCCCAGTACTGTATTGTTCAAACTATTTCTAACAACATACTAAAATACATATAATTTCCATTTTACCCAAGATACATAAAAAAAAAACTGGTGTAAAGAGTGCTAAAACTTTTGTTAATAGATAACTTGACAGTTTCTAGTTAGCTCCAGCTGACTGTAAGCACCTCCGATTCTTATATTTTATGTATATTTTTAAATCAAAGGTAATGTCTGGAGGTAAAAAAAACATACAATAGTGTACTTTAAGAATATAATAAACATTGTGTAGTTTTATCAGAAAATATTATTTTAAGATTCGATTAGTCTCTGTGTCATTGTGTAAATCAACCGAAGCCAAAGCCAGATTACATTTTCGAACGAAAGTAAAATGTAAATAAACAAGAGAGACACGTTGGGTCACGCCATTGGTGGAACCAACACCTGTGACAACGCCCCATGACACCAGTGACAACAGTGGTGACAAGTGACAACACCGGTGACAATACCAGTGAACCAGCATCGGTGGCAACACAACACTGAATAAGCATCAGTGACAACACTGAACCACCATCAGTGACAACACTGGACCAACATCAGTGACATCACTGAGCCAGCATCAGTGACAACACAACCACCATCAGTGACAACACTGGACCAACATCAGTGACGACAACACTGATCCAACATCAGTGACAACACTGAACCAGCATCAGTGACAACACTGAACCAGCATCAGTGACAACACTGGACCAACATCAGTGACAACACTGGACCAACATCAGTGACATCACTGAGCCAGCATCAGTGATAACACTGAACCACCATCAGTGACAACACTGGACCAACATCAGTGACGACAACACTGATCCAACATCAGTGACAACATTGAACCAGCATCAGTGACAACACTGAACCAGCATCAGTGACAACACTGAACCAACATCGGTGACAACACTGAATCAGCATCAGTGACAACACTGAACCAGCATCAGTGACAACACTGGACCAACATCAGTGGCAACAACACTAATAACACCAGTGAGAACAGAGACAATAGTGACAACACCCCTGACAATGCCTGGAGTATACCTGGAGGGTGTTCAGTGGGTCAACGCCCCTGCGGCCCGGTCCATGACCAGGCCTCGCGGTGGATCAGGGCCTAATCCGTAGCTCGATTGCTAGCGCACTCAACTCACACACAGGTCTGGGGGTCAGTCCCCAGTACTGGTGGAAACATTAGGGCGTGTTTCCTTAAGACACCTGCTGCCCCTCTTCACCCATCAGTAAAATACTAGGTACCTGGGTGTTAGTCGCCTGGTGTGGGTTACACCCTAGGACAGAACTTTCCTAATTTCCCCGAAATGCTCTGCATAACAAAGGGCTTTTTATATAGCAGTATGTCATTGATGTCAGCTAGGCCTATATACCTTGTACATGTACTTGTAGAAAAGATTATAATATAATCAACCAGGCTGTTATTGCAGGCCACACACAAACCTACACATGAACCACAGCCCGGCTGGTCAGGTACTGACTTTAGGTGCCTGTCCAACTCTCTCTTGAAGACAGCTCGGGGTCTACTGGTAATCCTCCTTATGGGAGGCAGCTGAACAGCCTTGGGGCCCCTGACACTCTGTGTTGTCTCTTAGTGTACTCATGGCACCCCTTAGGGGGATGTTGCACTGCTTGCTGAGTCTTTAACTTTCGCAGGGGCTGATTTCCATGTGCCCTAGTCCATCTATGAGCTTTCCAAGTGGCCTGGTGGCTAAAGCTCCCGCTTCACACACGGAGGGCCCGGGTTCGATTCCCGGCGGGTGGAAACATTTCGACACGTTTCCTTACACCTGTTGTCCTGTTCACCTAGCAGCAAATAGGTACCTCGGTGTTAGTCGACTGGTGTGGGTTGCATCCTGGGGGACAAGATTAAGGACCCCAATGGAAATAAGTTAGACAGTCCTCGATGACGCACTGACTTTCTTGGGTTATCCTGGGTGGCTAACCCTCCGGGGTTAAAAATCCGAACGAAATCTTATCTTATCTTATCTTACCTGCATTCTAAGGAATACAGGTCAAGGGACTTCAATCATACCTGGAGTTTACCTGGAGAGAGTTCCGGGGGTCAACGCCCCCGCGGCCCGGTCTGTGACCAGGCCTCCTGGTGGATCAGAGCCTGATCAACCAGGCTGTTGCTGCTGGCTGCACGCAAACCAACGTACGAGCCACAGCCCGGCTGATCAGGAACTGACTTTAGGTGCTTGTCCAGTGCCAGCTTGAAGACTGCCAGGGGTCTGTTGGTAATCCCCCTTATGTGTGCTGGGAGGCAGTTGAACAGTCTCGGGCCCCTGACACTTATTGTATGGTCTCTTAACGTGCTAGTGACACCCCTGCTTTTCATTGGGGGGATGGTGCATCGTCTGCCAAGTCTTTTGCTTTCGTAGTGAGTGATTTTCGTGTGCAAGTTCGGTACTAGTCCCTCTAGGATTTTCCAGGTGTATATAATCATGTATCTCTCCCTCCTGCGTTCCAGGGAATACAGGTTTAGGAACCTCAAGCGCTCCCAGTAATTGAGGTGTTTTATCTCCATTATGCGCGCCGTGAAAGTTCTCTGTACATTTTCTAGGTCGGCAATTTCACCTGCCTTGAAAGGTGCTGTTAGTGTGCAGCAATATTCCAGCCTAGATAGAACAAGTGACCTGAAGAGTGTCATCATGGGCTTGGCCTCCCTAGTTTTGAAGGTTCTCATTATCCATCCTGTCATTTTTCTAGCAGATGCGATTGATACAATGTTATGGTCCTTGAAGGTGAGATCCTCCGACATGATCACTCCCAGGTCTTTGACGTTGGTGTTTCGCTCTATTTTGTGGCCAGAATTTGTTTTGTACTCTGATGAAGATTTAATTTCCTCATGTTTACCATATCTGAGTAATTGAAATTTCTCATCGTTGAATTTCATATTGTTTTCTGCAGCCCACTGAAAGATTTGGTTGATGTCCGCCTAGAGCTTTGCAGTGTCTGCAATGGAAGACACTGTCATGCAGATTCGGGTGTCATCTGCAAAGGAAGACACGGTGCTGTGGCTGACATATTTGTCTATGTCGGATATGAGGATGAGGAACAAGATGGGAGCGAGTACTGTGCCTTGTGGAACAGAGCTTTTCACCGTAGTTGCCTCGGACTTTACTCTGTTGACGACTACTCTCTGTGTTCTGTTAATGAGGAAATTATAGATCCATCGACCGACTTTTCCTGTTATTCCTTTAGCACGCATTTTGTGCGCTATTACGCCATGGTCACACTTGTCGAAGGCTTTTGCAAAGTCTGTATATATTACATCTGCATTCTTTTTGTCTTCTAGTGCATTTAGGACCTTGTCGTAGTGATCCAATAGTTGAGACAGACAGGAGCGACCTGTTCTAAACCCATGTTGCCCTGGGTTGTGTCCAGTAATTGAGGTGCTTTATTGTATTTATACGTGCAGTGAAAGTTCTCTGTATGTTTTCCAGGTCTGCAATTTTGCCTGCATTGAAAGGGGACATTAGTATACAGCAGTACTCCAGCCTAGAGAGAAGAAGCGATTTGAAAAGAATCATCACTGGCGTGGAATACCAAGTCTTGAAGGGTCTCATTTTTTGTCCTATCATTTTCCTAGCAGATGTGGTAGAGACATTGTTGTGATCTTTCAAAGTGAGATTCTCTGATCATCACTCAGGTCCTTCACATTAGTTTTTTGCTCTGTTGTGTTGTTGGAATTTGTTTTATAGTCCGATCCAGGTTTTTTTTTATTTCCTAGAGCTTTCCATAGCAGAGCAATTGAAATTTGTAATCACTGAACTTCGTGTTGTTTTCTGATGCCCATGAGCAACTGCATGCTGCTACCAAGAGTTACAAAACCTACAAGAATCTCGGAGACTAGTGTTTCCTTATTAGACCACATCTGGACCAACACCATATCCCCTTTAAAATCAGGCATAATCACATATAACACCACAGACCACTACCCTACCTTTCTCATAACCAATCTAGGTAAATTACCTCAAGACACTACAAAATTTACCTTCAGACTTCATAATGAGACAGCTTTTAATAACTTCACAACATCAATGACCAACGTCAACTGGCAAACCGAGCTAGAAATCTATACAGATACCGACAAATATATTAATAATTTTCTAAAAAAGACCCAATACCTCTATAACATGCATTGCCCTAAAAAAAAAAAAAAAGATCACAGCTAAGAGATTGAACAGTCCGACTAACACCCAGCATCCTCAAATCCATAAATATAAAGCACCAGTATGAAAAACAGTACAGAATGGGCCAAATAACCAGAGACCAAACAAGACGTTACTCGTCAATCCTAACCAGCCTGATAAGAAGGGCAAAAAAAATTGTATTATGAGAACAGATTACTTAACTTAAAAGGTGATATGAAAAAGATCTGGAAACCCCTATCTGAAATTCTAGGAACTAAAAAATTATCAGGAAACAGAACAATCAAACTAACAAAACCAGATGAACCCCTACTCCCACCGAATGAAACAGCAAACAGGGCCAATGTTTTCTTCTCCTCCATAGGAAAAAACTTAGCGAGCAAAATCCCAAGCTCAAACACCCCACATAATGACTACCTCACTGGCACCTACCCGAACACACTATTCCTAGCTCCGACCAGCCCAACAGAAGTCTCACTTATTATCAACACACTAAAGAACAAGGCAGGAGATGTAAATAACTTACCACCCTTTATATATACAAAAAAGCTTCTCAAATGCTGTCACCAATCATTGCAACACTTTTTAACAAATCCATCGAATCCTCTACCTTCCCCTCAATTCTCAAAATAGCGAGGGGTCACCCCGATACATAAAGGAGGAGATCAAACAGACCTGAATAACTATAGGCCAATATCTAACTTACCTCTTCTCTCTAAAATCTTGGAAAAGTTAATTCATAGGCAGATCTATTCCTACCTCGTCTCCCACAACATACTCAACCCCTGTCAGTTTGGGTTTAGGCCTAATAAAAACACGAATGATGCTATTATACACATGCTAGAGCTAATATACACAGCACTCGAGAAAAAAGAAGTCCCACTGGGAATTTTCATTGATCTACGTAAAGCTTTTGATACAGTTGACCATGATTTGTTACACATAAAATTATCACAATATGGTATAAGAGGGCACTCCCT